TCTATTGAATTGAGCTGAATTTTCCTCCCGCTGTTTCTTCCAGGAAGCGTCGAGGAGCGTTCAACAGCAAACAGCTGTTCTACCTGGAGAAATATCGTCCAAAGATGCGCCTGCGCTTCAAAGATTCCAACGGCCATCGCAATAACTGCTGCATCCAGTAGAGCCAAATCCTGAGCCACGCCAACCCCCTCACTACGGAAGACTTCAGCTCAACCTTGCTAGCTTCGTACCTGGCAGGCTTGTGTTTTTGTTTTTGTTTTTTTTTTGTTTCTCTTCATTGTGTTGAAGTATTTTACTTTAGAAGATCATGCTCGGTGATTCAAATGTCCCCTTCCCTCTCCAGGTTCAAAGTCAAATGTCAGAAAAAAGAAAAAAAAGAAAAACAAGAGTTGTGTGAACCGAGTTTTCTCTTCATGTGCCCAGAAAAAAAAAAAAAAAAGCGATTAGGAAGGGCAGCGCTCAGTCGTGTATCGTCGTAAGATGTTGGATTAGCTGTTTTCTGCAAATGCATCCCAAAGATTAAGATTGGCCAGTGCATTTACATCGCCTGAGAATGTGTCGAAATTTATTTTTCTTATTTTCCATGTGAGCAATTATATGTACCCCGTTCAATTTTAGGGTTCAGTTTCAGTGCTGACTAGAAAGAGGTATGCCTTCCTTCAAATCAGATGGATCATCCATAAATGCCTTACAATCGAAGTGGAACAAAGGCAATCGAGGCGGGAGTCGACTCCCGCCGGCATTTGGAAAAGGTGTTTCATTTTTCTACTTGGAACAAAAAAAGAAAAAAAAAGAAGAAGAAACTGTTGCCTTTGTCTTGTGCAGGAAGTCTTACACACACTTATGCCCTTTCAGTAACTATTTTTAATATAAATGCTTAACTGTTGCAATATTTGTCATATTTGTCAATTGAAAGTCTAGGAACTTTTTTTCTTTACTCTATCAAACCTTCTGTTTACTAATTAACTGCCATGTCCAAAATGTGATCTTTGGTCTTTTTGTTTCCAGTTTGTTTTTGTTTTTTTAATTTTTAATTTTTATTTTTTTTTGCTTCAAACTGGACTTCCAACGTCTGCGATATTTTGTATGCCTTTTTATTTGATGTCCGTAACTTAAGACTTGGATACTTGATGATTTTATGTATTTGAAAATGTGTACTATTATTATTAGGTTGGCTATTTATACTATCAATGGATGTGTGATTTAGTACAGTGAGCGACAAAGTTGTACCTGTTCACCAACTTGTGGGAGTACATTAAATGATACACTGAAAAACATCAAAGAAAACTGTTCAGGAGTCTTTTTTTAAAAATTTTGTGTTTTGGTAGTTATTCTTATGAGTGTCGACAAATTAGGTGTTTTTTTTCTCAATACTTTTTATGTTGTGCCTGAATGAGTTGTTGTTAGTTGTCAAATTAGTTTTGAAACAGTCGTCCTCAAGTGTATTCATCTCCTTCCATTAAAGAAAAGGCAAAATTCACAACAGTCACTCAAATCGCTGGAAACTGAAAAACGCAATGATACATAAAAATTTGCAAAATTATAATTTAGTGAAATAAGACGCTGCTTTTGAATTTCAGCTGTACTTAGCGCTCCTCAGGCTGAAGCAGCTGATCCAGGCGCTCCTTCTTTGTCAGTGTCATCTGTGTCCTAAACACAAGCAGAACTCACAGTTCATGCAGCACAAACCCTCACAGGACAGAGCGCAGGACCATCTGTGACCAGTTTGTACACTCAGATTGACGGTGTGTTGTTCATCAGCATCCTCCGTGCTGCTCTGCGTCCCGTCAGGCTGCTTCACAGAAAATCTACCAGACAGAAGAATCAAACATCACACAGTGTCCTGACATCCGTTTGTTAAAGAGCAGCTGCAAACAGGTGGTGTGAGGTGTCTCATCCGCACAGTGGTTCAGAAATGTTTCTCAGTCTTGGGTAAGTTTATTTAACAAATAAGCCTCTTGGGGACAAACAAAGGACCAAAAACAA